AATAATTTCTATGAAAGAGATGGGTAGCTAAAACAAAATAGCAAAATATAATACCAATGGAAGTTCCTCCAATTTGTATGGTTCTAAACACTGGAAATAAACAAGTGATAAAATCTGGGAGGGGCATAAAAATATGATAATTTATTAGCACCTCCCCCACCCCAATGAATTCAAGTGGGGAAACAACCCTGTGTTAAATAACTGTGCAGGTAAGCCAAAAAAAAAAAAAAAAAAAAAAACCCAACAAAAAATAAAGTACATAAAAAGCATGAACAATATATATTGTATACATTATAAAAATCCTTCTACTTCTACAAATTATATCAAACTTCTTTACTCTTTGCTTTACTTAACAATAAAAAGCATTCTTTTAACAATAGATTTTACCAACACAAATAGATAATATAATAATTCATTAATATTAGTTTCCATTCATTTACCTCATTACCAATCAACCACATTTCAAATCTTTCGTATTTACATCAAATTACATCATTTCGAAAACTTTCTCTTTTACAATAAACACAGACAGGATGTGATAGTCTGTTACATCCAACAATTCGTAGCCACTACTAATCACAATAAGCTTCTACATGTGAAGATACAAAATCTTCAGCACAAGTAACATGGAAACAAAAATGTTTCCAAAGCAGGGTGCTGTACAATATACAAATCTGTACCAGAAACAGACCCATAGACACAACAAATCGCTGAAATAAAACATGAAAAATTATGTTTCTAAATAAGAACAATAGACACTCAAATACAAGAGAAAGATGGAACAATTTGTTTCCAGAACAGAATTCTCATAGCAAAAATTAGCAATAATTGGAACACAAATGTTTCCAGAGTAGAGTCATAGACATCAACTACACACCTATGCAATAAATATTTGTTTCCAAAGTAGAACAATAGTAACCTTATAGTAACATCAAAAGGTGAAACATTTGTTTCTAAAGTAAAATGCAAGAAACTTGAGACTCCTAAATATCACCAAAGAATGGAAACTTTTGTTTCCAAAGTAGAGCATTAAAAACTTAAGTATAATCACAAACAGTAGCATAAACACACGTTTCCATAGCTTACTGTAGAGGCTTACTTTAACCTTGTCTTATAATAATCCAATCCAATCTAAAGCTAAGTCTTATAAGGCGCATTATACTAAACCATATCCAATCAATGGTAACCTTTTTATCCGTTTGAAATATTTCACAGATTCATCTAATATTAACACAGAGAAACTCAACATCATGAGCAAACACAAAATGGCAAGTAAACTAATATATGAATACCATAGTTAATACCATAATAACACTTTGAATTAATAGACTCGTAAAAATGAGTTGGCTTTTGTCAGGAATTGGGCAGCAAAAAAGTCAAATTCCATGCTGTGAATTAACACAGTAAAACACTGGGAAACACAAAAGAGAAGTTTCACTAAAATAGGAAGGCAACCTTGTAACATATGCAGCTCTGTATCTTTGTTCACATTATCAGGTTTTATGGGACAAATATCTGTGATTTTTCCATATATGGACATAGTGATGTCATATCACAACCATATATGGGCATGATGATTTCACATCACACGTGCTGGTATTTGAAACATAAAACTCGATAATATGAACCGAGTTCAAAATATCATGGAAGAACAGCAATGTGGTTGAAATTCAGCTTTTATTGAATAAATAATCTTTATATTCTTTTGTTTCTTTATATGTCATTTGTTTGTATAAAATGATCACAATTTTTATATAATTAAAATTACTTTTTTTGAAATAAATAATTTTTCTCGGCTCTACTTTAATATTTACTAAAGATCTAGTTGTGATCGTCTTGTTATACCAACCAGTGGATTTGTAAATGCTTTCCTATGTGCTAATTAAAGGCCAAATGCTAAGTCGGAAAAAAATAGGTCCAGATTTTGAAAGAATTTTTCCTTTTCTTAGTCGAGCAAAAATCCTTACATTGAAGGCGATTCTATAGTTCAAAATTATTATTGTGTTATAAACGGAAGTATTTCTACCTTCAGAAGGTCATATCTTGACAAAATTAAGACTTGCGGTATTACCGTATATGCCCGCATACAGAGTTGCACAGTATCGCCAATACTGGTGTATTGCATTATCTAATGTTAATGTATTTTAAAAACAAATGTTATTTCCAGGCAGTATCAATTAAATTGGCTACAATTTTTATCGCATATATCGTAAGCCTGAACAGGCCCAAAATGTATTTAAATTTTGATCGACAAACCAAAATAATGTTTTCTTGTTATCACCATTACAAAGGAAGATTTTAAAGTACTGTGCAAATTTTTTTTCAGATATATCAGAGTTTAAATACCATGGTAAACAAAGGATTGGAGTTGTATCACAATATATTCCAGAAGTACAAAAATGATATGAGACTATAGCACCATCTGCAAATGACATTTGACTGGAAATAGCACAATCATTCAAATAGCTTTGTTAAATATTAAAATAAAAATATAAAACTGATGTTGTTGCTAGATTAAGTACCTAACTATAGTTATATGTTTTTGGGTGTGTCATTATAGGGATACTTCGCCACACATTGTTTGATATGTTTGTGTGTAGAAAATGTGTGAACCTCAATATAGGGGCCTATAATATTGTTTATGCAGGTCATACACCGTTTGTACATCTGTACTGGAACGCACGAAACAAAGAGGTTATTCTGATTATGGTTGAGCGATTGGCACGGCAGTTGAGATGCAGACTATCAACTTTAAGATCAGGGGTTCGAACTCCTTGTTGTGCATTTCGCTTGTGTCCTTGAACAAGGCAATAAAGGTACAGTTGTTCCTCTATGCGGTAGAAAAGTGGGTACCTGGTTACATTCAAACACCAAACGCTGAATTTAGCTGCTTATGAAATGGTGATCTATAAGTGTTTGATATAATGACCAGGGTAAAAATGTAAAGTGCATAATATACAGTTTATTGCATTATGCACTAGATAAATAGCGCATTGTTATTACTATCATGAAATGCACTAATTACTATCTGCAGTGTTCGGAGTATGTGTTCCATAGATGATTGGGGTAATAACGTAAACAGCATAATGTCATTGTTTGAATAATGCCTTTACTTGTTATCGTGTAGCGTAGAAATTTCACCAAACAATAAATATTGGACGTCTTTTACAATGCTTAAATGATGTTCTGGTTCACACTTCATTCATTGTGTGAACAGGCCTTAAGTTCTGTCCACACTACAAAATTTTATGTGATAAAAAATGTGACATGCCCATATTTGGGTGTAATATGACATCATCTTGCCCATATATGGGCACATCATACAAACTTGTCACATCAAATTTGATAGAGTGGACACAGGGCACAACACACGTCTCTAGTGTACGTTGTTGTAGGCAGAAGTGTGTGGCGAAATGTCCCTACTACATTAACAATATTATCTTCATTTACTAATGCATATCAAATTCAGAGGACGAACACTGTATAGGCTTACTGAATAGGAATATGTATCAAACTTTGAATAAAAATTTGTTGCGTTTAAACATTTTTGGTAAATACTGAGCATTTTAGTATATAAATCACAGGGCATTGAAAACAAACACTTTTAAGCAACCTCACTGATGGACATCAAATCCACAAGGTGTGAAAAGGATTCCTAAAGTAACATTTTATAAAATCTCGTACAAAAATACTCAAATGAACAGAATGGCGGTTTACAGTATGTATTTTCTTACTTACTTACACACACTTTATTTTTCATGGGATTAGTATTAATAAAAAAGGTCTTTTTTGTTATTATTTATAAAAGGTATCAAGATTTTAAACCAGCTTTTGTTGTTTTATTTCAAATAAATTATGTAGAGATGATATCTCGTTAACAATATTTACACTATGGACCTAATGCGGTCCCTAATATGATGGAAGCAAGGGGTATTGCAGGGAAATACTGTATTTGCTTTGATCATGATATAATCATGACTACGTGTATAAAATGTGCAGCACTTGTTTATACTGATAGTATAGCATATAAAGTAGAATGTATGCTTTTTTATACAATAACATTCCCTTAGTGTATGCTTTGTTCTTTTGAATATTATCTAAACAGTTACCAGATTATTTTTGGCAGTAAGTTTGCGAAAGGATAATCAGCACCACGGGTCTTGAATACAGCAGAACATCTGCAGTAGTCCTTGTCAAGCATTGGCCCAACAAGAGGTCAACGACTCTGTGCAAGAGTGACCTCCTTGTATTTTTTTTCTACTCCAGAAGCAAATCAGTCCAGATCCAACAGAAACTGGTTAATGTTCCTGTTCATCTCCACTACTATACTACAAGCACATTCCATGTTGGAGTTTATCTCCATCTCATCACCATTGGTGGATAATTTTACTTTGCTTCTAATTCGACTTAATCCAGCCGCTCCGTGTCAGGTAGTTCACGATACGTTTTCGATGAGTTACGTTAAGATTACCTGGAAAACGAGGCCTAGTTGAAACTCCTTGACGTCTCAGCAAGTAATCCTAGAAAACAATTTATCACATTAAATCTATTTGAATTTCAACAAAAATATTGAATTAAACATTATTTTGAGAGAGTATTGAGATCAGTAATCAATGCTAGGGAGAGACATTAACAAAATGCCCCAAAGCTTCATCTCATCCCCAACTACTATCAATATAAAACAACAATGGACTAAAGGTTTATCATTATGTATGTTCATTCTTGGAATCTATATTTTTACAGTTATTACATGACTGCAGCACTAATCCAGTGACATTATCAATATAAATTAATATTAATCTCTCTTTTTTTTTTTTTTGGTGGAGAGTGAACAGATTTGTGACTCAGTTATAAAATTTGGGGTCAACAAACGGTCAGTTGTTGTACAGTAGTGTAACTTTCTGTCCATACTATCAAATTACACTGTATGTGACAGATTTGTGTAATGTGCCCATATAAAGGCATGAAGATGTCATATTACACCCAAATATGGGTATATCACATTTATTGGTCACATCAAATTTTGACGGTGTGGACAAAACTTAAGTAATTATGAGACCGTATTTTGTACCCTTGATGCTTTGTACCCAGAATGCTTTGCACCCAAAATGCTTTGTTCCCAAAATGCTTTGTTCCCAGAATGCTTTGTTCCCAGAATGCTTTTTTACCCAGAATGCTTTGTAGTGAAGAATTCCTGCCAAGCCCAACTTTTACATAATGTCCCATGAAATTCAGATCGTTGCAGCTTTCTCTTTTATGTCTCATGTTTATAATGAACATTTTTACAATTTAATCAGATGCTTTGAAATTATATTTTGAAAGAACATGCTATTTAAGCCGTGAACAATTTGAAAACACATTTCTTAAATTCAATTTGGATGGTTTAAAATTTTCATTATTTATTAACTTTGAAAATTGTACATAGTGTATATTTGACATTGTTGTAATTGGTTGCTTTTTATTTATGTATGATCAACAATGTTGCCATAGTGATTACGGTCTATTTGGTAATACTATGGCTTTATATATTTTCTGTATGTTTCAAGTGCTTTTTGCATTTCTTGGTAATATAAGAAATACATAAATGATGATGGATGTATTGATTGATTGGTATATTATATGATTGATGTATTGATTGATTGGTATTTTAAATGAGTGATTGCTATAAATAATTTATTTATTTATTAATTTATAAATTTATTCATGTATTAATGCATGAATAATTATAAATATAATACTTGATTAATTGAATAATAGATTAAATAATTGATTGATTTTTTGAATGATTGATTAATTGATTGATTGATCTAACCTTAACGATGATGGTCTTCAGCATAATATACCTGCCCGGTTTCATTCTCATGGAGCTGCACAACTAAAAATCAAACAAGAATTCCCACAATTAAAAACAACTATTGTTAGAAATTACATACAATACATCATGCACATTATTAAGTCACCTTTTTTAATTAAAGTTAGTTCATACTTAAAACTTCCATGCAACAGAGACAGAAGGTGACAAATTTCGAACATAAGCAAATGCATTTAAACATAGTTGGCAAGGCGGTTGGTCTTTAGAAATTTGAGTTACAACCAAATGGTTGCTAGTTACAAGTGTCCCGAGTTTGGTAGGAGTCGCTTCATGCAGACCTGGTTTAACAAACTTTCTCAACACATCTAATTGAATTTTGCCAGGCATGGTGATGCTCATAGCCAAGGAGGAAGATAATACAGTAGTTAAAACATGCAATCATCATAAATTTGAGGGAGATATGTTAGTTTCCAGGATATTTTAGCTTTCTCATGTGAGTGCAAGATATTGTGATGATTTGCAAGCAGACTTGAAACCCCTGCTAGTTTCAATTTAATGCCCGTCACATTGCTAGCGTCCATGGGCAAGACACTATGTTTGTCCCTTACATCCAAGAGCACAAGTAACTAGTAGGGTGTGAAGCTTTGAATGACATTGGTCAGTACTAAACTTTTATTATGTTATATACATTTTCTAAGCAACCTATCAGATTAGAGCATTATAGAGTCTAAAGAACTTTAAAAAATTGTTCAATACTTCAGTAATTTATTAAATGATGAAACACACTAAAAAAAAACCAAAAAAATAATTACATAAAAATCATGCACAAGGATACTATGCAAAATAAAACAATTATTTACTAATATTGTAAAAACATAATAACTGGTATTTTATTTATTGAACTCACACTTTTATAACATTTTATTATTTAGAAATATATTCATTCATAATATATTGATAATATAATGTTTATGTAAATTCAAATATATCCTAATCATACATACAGGCGTAAATTAATGCATCATTTCATATTATAAAGAATAATATTAATAATTCTTTAAAATATTTAAATTCATAACATCATTAAATGACAAATAAGGGTTTTTTTTTTCCTTTCGTATCCAACAGCAAGTAACTTGCCTATTACAGGATGGACAATGCTTTATACACCAAGTCTCTTAAGGGGTGGAGTTGCTTTTAGTCCTGAGAAAAAGTCTACTATCACAGGAATTGAACCTAGGACCCTAACACTGGAAGGCAAGCATCTTCATTATTCACCACTAAGCTATACAACTCCACTCTCATTTATTGATACATATTTTCTATTTTTCCCATTAAACAATAATTATTGCATTAAAAAAAAGGAAAATTAAATGCAAACTTCAATTTTAATCAACAGATGCAAACCAAAACTGAAAAAAGTGTTGCTTTCATGCGTTACTGCTGAACAAGCCAACAATTCAAACGTAACATTAAAAAAGAAACTTGCTGGTTAAAGCATCATCTTACACTCGGTGTCTTAATTGGTAGTAGATTCGCCTTACAGCGCCCTCACGGCTTACCTTCTTCTCTCGTTCAGATAGATAGTTAAACCCATGTGAAGACTTGATCGCTTGGAACTCGTCTTCAGCAATTTCTGATGAAAAAGTGAAAAATAATGAAGAATGAAAGTTACAATAGGAAGATTAATATACTTATTAAACTTATTAATATACTTATTAAACTTATTAATATACTTATTGCTGTTGTATAAACACCACTAACACAGGTGGCATTTTCATTTTGTATGTGTTTATTGAATGCATACTTGATTACAGTACTGTATTTATTCAAATAGAATAGGGGCATTTACTCAAAGCGGGGCGTTTATTTAATTAAATATTAAATGTGATAGCACTATACCTCTATATTCGAAAGCTCTCTTGATGATAGAATGCCAGGCCCATAGTATGTAAGTTCATTTTTTTTAGATAGCAATGCATCTATTTTAAAGGTCAGTGAAAATGCATAATAATATTATGCTTGGAAGTTTTTTCATTTTATGTCCTTTCTAATAAATTTTTTTATGCTCATCTGACATTGATACCAATGTTTTTGCATCCAGTATGCATTTTGTGACATTTTGTATCTAGATCAAATGCCAAACACACAAAAAAAACCATTCACAACCTGATAACTTTATGTGTCAAATAACTTACTATAAATAGTATCAGCAATGGCAACAACACAATTTAAATAACATGACAAAAATAAATATAACAACTATCAATCAGTAGTTACAGTAAGCTGTCGCTTGGTGGCGCTGCTCTGCTGCCATTAATTCGCAAGGTTCAATACTAGTCCTATGTGCATGATCTATTTCGAACAAGGTAGAAGCAGGTTCTTAGTTCCCAAACGAAATGGGGGCTCAAGTTTGAGGCTGGTTTCCTTGGCCAAGGCAATTCATCTGCATTGCTTCTCTCTTCCAGGTATCAAATGGGTGCCTGATGGGCTGTATGCTGCTGCATTGATATAAATACTCTAAATTTTGTGCTTTCAACAGTAGAAGAAAATAAAAACCCGAAAAGAAAGGAGCCCAAAACAGAAGTAGGCAGGGAAGGCAGATTATAAAAATTATTTTCGCCTTTAATAAATTTGAGAGATAAAGTAGGATGGGCAATCAGACAAATCAGTTCTAATCCCCAGGATAGAGCAGAAGCCAATGATGTAACCACATCATTTCCTCTACATATCAAGGTTGTTGTATCCATATTGGGATTTAATATCCTTTTTAGTTCCACCAAAGGTATATTTTGAGCGGAATGATTGACGAATTACGGACCATTTGTTTTCATTTCAATTAGACTGTAAATCCGTATAAACATTATTTTATGCAATAATATATTTATACTGATGTTTTACGACCTCAATTTAACTTTTAGAAAAGTTCATTATTTTCAAGGCTCTGTTATTAAAATAGTATATTTTAACAAATTAATAAATATACTATTTTATTTCTCCGTGTCTTGTTAACTTTTCATTTTCATTCACTGTTTTAAAAGCGTATGATTCAATAAATTTGATTTCATTTTATAATAGTATACACTTAAACAAATTAAATCCTGTCAAATGTTATAGAAATTTAAGTTTTTGATGCATTGATGGTTATGTTGTCTGAATTACATCGCTGGTTACATTGCAGGTTAAACACAAAATGTTTGAGTCAGGTATTGCAAAACAATTGTAGTACTCTAGTTATGTACTGTATAACCCCATTAACCTTAACAAGAAACCAACTTGACGATTTTGAGGATGGGCTTATAACTGGAAACCAGAAAATGCAAACAATACAATAGTGGGCCTGCAGACAAAATGCCAGTTATGTCTAGTCTAGTTCTCCCAGAGCATTTAGGCTTGGGTCTAAATAAGCCTCTAAATGCTCAATTTCCATGCAATTTATTTTATAATCGGTGATTAAACTTTTTTTATCTTTCAACTGTTATCGGAGACATTGGCTTACACCTGAGGTGGGTCTATCATAAATCATTTTCAAGTTCAATTGTGAATAACAACAAATAAAATGAAGATTTAAGACATTGCAGGAAGTTAATTCAATCACTTGGTTGACACCTATTGTGCGACCTTTTTAGTTCTAATTTTTATTTGTTATGTATGCACATCTGATCTTGAAAATGGATCTATGATGGATGTGAAAGGTCATTTTGTAGGCTTTAAGTCTGCATTTTAAAAGTTTAGTTTTAAGATTTTCAACCTTTTCATGTATCCAGGGAGACACTGACATGACAGTATCTGCAACTGTTCCAAAAGATCGACGAGTGGAGATGTATTTTGGTGGATAAGATACTTGCCTTCCAATCCCAGGGTTCATTGCCTGTGAAATAATGACTAAAAACAATCCTGCTCCCTAACCCTCATCAGAGATGGATCTAGGAATTCAAAATGGAAGGGAAGAGTAGGGGAGGGGGAAGGAAGGGACATGCAGATATTTTCAGATGGAGGGTCTAGACAACCTCAATCCCACCATGGTTGGGGCTGGGGTTGGAAATTTTTTTTGGGGGGGGGGAGGGAAAGAAATAGTAGCTGCCTTTCTCTTTTACAATACTTTTATGATTCAAAGCAGAAAATCCTGTAAAATTTGAAACATCCTCAAAAGGCAATGGAAACTTGTGTGAGTAACAACCACGTTTAAAGCAAGGCTCTGGGGGAACACTTTTTTTTTTTTTATCTTGTACTCATATTTTTTTAAGACATGTCCTACAATATAAATGAGATACAGATTTTTTTTTAATTTAAAAAATGGGGTAAAGGGGGCATAACCACCTTTTTCTACCTTTTTTCCCAGTTATAAAAAAATATTAAAAAATCTCTATCTACAATTACCATTCCTGAGCTTTTTTGTGCCTCTAAAAAATCAGTTGTACAACATATCACAGGGGCTTTTTCCTCAGGAGCATGGCACTTCAGGTATCAGTGGCAAATATTCGTGCAAATATTTTTTCATTGTACAATATTCATTGCATTTAATCATTTATAAACTTGAGACAGATGTTAAAAGTTGACTGACCACAAGATAAGATGCATTATTGTCAACGATAAAATCCAAGATTAAAGCAACAAAGGAAACGCATGCAAATCCTCGCTAATGCTTCATCACCATCAGAAATAATATTTTGCTGTGTTAATAAACTTTCCTGGATTTCTCAAGTTAACGATGCAAAAAAAAGTAATCTGTTCAAATTTCAATTTATTTATCTACTTTGTACTGCTTGATTGGTGAATACTTAAACCAACGGAAAGTGGGTTTGAAAAATTGCCTCATGCATCCTGTCCTAACAAGACAAACCTTGTTGTTTTAATGCCAGACAAGTGTTTTAATTCCTCTACAAAAACTAATAGAAAGTACATTAACTTTAAATCTTCAAATATTTCCTCGGGCTCGGACACTTGACATATCCTGTTTATTGAAAAATTGATGGTGGTGTATTTCTTCATTTGCATTGCACAACTACAATTTCTTGCATTAGGGTAATAAGACCATAACTGCATTTTATTAAATAGTAATCAAGTTGTTGGTAGCAATAACTGTATTTTCCAACTTTGCATTTACCTAAAAAGTGTTCTACCACTAACATCACAGCTACAAACATCAATGAGAAAAAGAAAATTGTGGCAACGTTTTTGGTATACCAGAACGGGCAACAAAAATCACCATATTTATTTATTATGAAAATTTTACAATAAAATGTGAAAAATGATCAATTTATTTACATACCTCTTCCATTTTTTGTATTTTTTTCTTCTTTTATTCTGAAATTTAAAAAAATAACATTTTAAACATGTTGTATATATTTACTATATAATCACAAAAGAATGTGCACTAAATTTGTGTACAATAAATGAAAGGTGACGCCAATAATTGGTGTTTACAATTTTTTGTAGGTTCACCTTTTCTTTTATATGTTATATAATATAATTATCATATAGTAGCTTATAGACAGGTAAATTTGATCATTATATAGGAAAGTTTATTGGTCTTTTTGAGATTTGTTACTGCTATCTATGCTGTCAATATTATCATTATTTACCATCAGAAGTGTGTGTGAAACAGGTTAAAAAGTATTTTAAAAACCTGGGTTGACATACCAACATGACTAAATACTTTTTCCCCCAGTTTTGTACTAAACTAATGATGGCCTAGCAACCTCTCTTTATGTAGTGATGGGTCAAAACATTTGCTGCCAGTGTGCCTGTCTGAATCAAGGGGAATCTTAGGGCCTCCAGTCAGGATTCAAGAGTAAAAATCAGTAGTGGGATTAAATGATGACTTCCCCTGCCAGATATTTTATGGAATTTTTGTATAAACATGTATATTTTAGAGTAGAATTAGTTGTAAGGGCAAGATTAATGATTAGTTTCTTGGTTTGTTTGTTGAACAGACTTATGGTCTTATTTTTCAGGCACATAGAGGTCCTAACAAAGTAGTTTGTAAGTCTACCATTATTATCATTATAATACTATTATCTTCATACAATACATTATTCTCCTTTTTTTTTTCTTTTGAAATCAATAGCCACCAAGGAAAAGCAAATGAAGGTACCAGTGAATGAAAAGATTGCTTTTTAAAATGACTCACATTTTGAAACAAAACCTATTAAAAATGATTCAGAAGAAAAAGAATAAACCGTTGTTTTGCAACAACAAACACATTTTTGAGGACCTTGGAAAACCAATGGTTTGGAAGTTGGAGAACAGTGGAGAGTACTAAGATGCTGATCGGTCAAGACTGTGGGACAACCACAACAGACGGATTATCCACTTGGAAAACAAAGAAGTAAAAATATTGCTTCCTGCCAAGATAATCCTTGCGATTTTTCTCCTGACTAATTAAGTGCTTCTGAAAGTTATGACATGGTCAATGGATGGGGTACGCACTTGTAAAATGCTGACGGACACATTAAAACATGGAGGTTCAAAGAATTGAGATGTTAATGGCTGCAACAGGAAATCCAATACGTCCCAATTAGTTCTCCAATGTCATTTGCCACTTGTTTGATTTTTATTACATGATTATAATCCAATGCTTCTGTACTGTATTATCACAGATCTTATAGGATTTGTGGTATTATGTAAGAAGGAATTAGAAATACCTACATGGTGGAAGCATTTAATTTAAGTTTTAATTATATTAATATATTTTTCACATCCAACCGGAAGTACATTGGCCAAATACTGTAGAGAATGATGCTTTATAAACTTTAAATTCTTTTTTATGAGGCTTAAAAAAGTTGAAGAATAAAGTTAAGTTGTTTTTAGTTATGGGAAGAAAACATAGACAACATTAGAACAGAGTTCTTAAGTGCTACAGAATTTCCGAAATAGTTGCAGAAATTTTGCCTAATTATATAGACAATAATACTACGAAAATTTATCATAGGACTAGACCCATAAATAAATATAAGTTCTAAAGTCTAGAACACTTTTCCATCAGGATCTGCTGTTAAATTGTCCCTAGACAAATCATATTGTTGAAGAAAAAGTGGCTTTTATCCTGTCCCTGTTTTTTTTAAATTCTACAGCTGTTAATATTATGCTATACCTGCATTTTATGCAACCTATATTAACAAATTATAACCATAAATACTGTAGGTGCTACAAAAAATTTGAATTTAAATTAATACTATGGATATTTAAAGACATGATTTACTGAAATGCATATTAATAACTTGAGAAGTCTGCAAGGGTTAGAACGCAAGCCTCTTAACCACCAAGGTACAGCCCCAATATTGGTCCCCCCATGCACTAATTACCCCCAACTGATTAAAAAGTACATTTCAAATGTTAAGATGAAACATTAGTAGAAGTAAGGTGATGAGCAGTGTCACAAGTAATTACATTTACAGGCAAAGAAACCAGGATGTTTACATTACATCAACAGGCAAGCATGACAGATGAGTTTGAATGGTGGCTCATCCTAAACTGTCATGGGAACCTGTTGGCTTTCAACATCACAACCATCTGATTGATAAAACATATAAAACTGGTTGAATTTGACATGGAGACCAATTATTGAAAAGGTACTTGACCCCTAGGCCCACTGCACCTGCTACAGGGCCTGAAATATATCAATTTATTAAGAAATTAGCTTTCAACTAGGAATTATGAGAAAAAAAGAACATTGCACATAATAACAGATGTTTAAATAACAGGGGGTGTAGGCTGGTTTTGGCTGAAGGATGGGAATGGGTGGGGGCGGGGGAGGTTGCAAAATGGCCTGGGTGTGCGAAAATTGAGAATGAGGAGCAAAATCCCTATTCCAATGAAAACCTAATGGTCATATTTAAAATTTATGTCACTTAGTGGAACTGATTTGCTTTTATGGGGCTGCATTCGCCTCCACTGCCCTCTCCCAGCCTATGCCCATAAATAAATCATAAGTGTACCTAACTACCCTTAATAGTCTGGCAGTAAACACTAATTTTCATAGTAGGGGTTATAGTAAAAACCTATGTAAATTTAATATTGAGAATTATACCTAAATGTAATTGTTTTTCAAATAAGCAATATATAATTTTATTTTAATTTTCAAGATCAATTTTTTTTTCAAATATTGAGCTTATTTGAGCAGCTAAAAAAACAGACATAATTTGTCATGATGAATCCAGGACAAAGTTGTTTTAATTTTTTGAACTTTCGATCACATGGCTCAACTCATTTACAGACGTAAACACATGTTGCTCTGACTGTACAAACCGACTAACTTTGATTTACAACTACTACCATGCTGTGCCTACTTCAATGACATTTTATTTTTTATCCTCAGGATTTCAGGCTTTTCATCATTTTTTTAAATCCTTTACATCAAACGACAAGCACAAAACTTGCAGTCAATTATTATAATAAACAACTGGCATGTGTCCTTATGACTTTAGCAATAGTTCCATTCAAAAGTACTGAATTATAATCCTTTGTTTCAGTTGGGAGCCTTCCAAATATTGTATTTTTTTTTACTATTGCCTTATGCAACTTCAGTTATAAAACACTAGTGGACTGATATTTGATTCATTATTAATATTCATGTATGATAACAATTTACTTAGTTAACTTCAAAACAATGGACAGAATATATGATTTATCGACTGATTAATCAATTGTTGATAGGGTATTCTGTTTCCATAGCAGGTTTCGAGAATCGATTACACCATTTGAAAACAGAGGCTTGGCATTCGAGAGACCCTAGTGTTTTCAAGTGGGTTTTGAGTCCCTGTTTTCGAGGTCTCTTTTTTCAAGACCAATCTTTGTTATGCTTATTCACATAAGAATTTAATAATTGCATTTTTGTTGCTAAACTTGGAATCAGAGACAATACTGTATTATTATCATAATACATGTATAAAGAAACACAAAGAAATGTGAAAAGCATACAAAACATTTTAAAACAAACCCTAAAAAGCTGGTTTTTTTAAATATGATAACTCTTTATTAGATTTATTAGAACCATCAAACCTGTTGAAAGTACTCAAAAACACAAGGGAAATCAAAGCAAGAAAAAACAATTGACCTGGGCCTGACCTGGTAATAAATACAAGCTAGTAAAACTTCAAAATATGGTTAGCATTCCTTACCTATTACACTGCTAACAAATAAATCACTTGAAATCAATCTTTGGATATGATTAGTTTGATGAGAGTTTCAAGTGGAATACGGTTAATTAACGTAATCTGAATCGCTGGTACTGTATTATGCCTCAATAGCACCTCCCTGCTTATTATACAAAGACCTCATTATTTTCAATTTGGTTATTTTTTAACCTAGATTTTAGGTGATTATGGTTTGGTTTCCTTCATTAAACATAAAAACTCCAACATAACTCAATGCTGGTTTTTAAATTACCCAATTTAAATACCATAGTTGTTGTAAAGATAGAATTTGAGAAGCAAAATATGGAATTCACAGAATCCACATTCCTGACAATCTGACCATGTTTGTTAACTTCTGACGTCCAAATAACAGGAACGATTTGAGTTCACCAATTTATGCCTGTTTTTCATGCTTTACTTTTTCTTCCCATTCTCAACTGACAACTGGAAGTTTACGCCATTGGTAGAAATGGCAAAATGTGTCTGCCGACATTTCAAAATAACATTCGTCTCCACTCACAACACATACAAATGGGGGAAAAAAAAATCTATTTTACTGTTGAGATGCTTGTTTGCATCCATACTTTTATCTAACTTGTATATGACATTTTATTGATTGTTGTTATTATCTCATTGTAGGCCTATTTTGAATTTTTTAATCGTTTGACTATTGTAAACTTGAAGTTTATCAGCATTTTTGTTGCTTCTAAGTATTTATTCCAAATAAATTTAAAAAAAATAAAATAAAAATAAAAATAAAAAAAATTGTTATTAAGAATTTTTAAATATGTACAATATGTCTACAAGTATATAGCAATTACAGTAGTAGTAGTATCCAGGCCTAATTGTTTTTACAGTGTTACTGTTTGTTTTATAATGTTTGAAGTTGTTTTTTAAAATTATTTTTATATAGTTTGATATTAATGATTATTACTTACTGTATACACAACCCTACATTTTTAAAAAAGTTTGTTAGCTGACAACATTTGTTTGCAGTGTGAGCTTAACTTACATCCTAACTACAGTATGTAAGACTATATCCACCAGAAACTATATCAAAGACAATCAAAGAATGAGATCTCATAATAATTAAAACCAATAAAAATACTACATGTTATAGCATATCATTATGAAAAATGACCTTAAAATCGTTAACACATTTAATCACAT